TTCATTTCCAAGTCTGCCCCGGTTTCTCAGGCAGAAGCTCTTAAATAGCTTAATTCCTGGTCTAGCACAACGTTCCAATAACCACATTTTGCATCAACAATGGAGAAGTACTTGGCACCACTTAGCTTTAAGAGAATTTCTTCCAGAGTAGGGATCATGTGATGCTCTCTGGAAATGGTCTTGTTTCGGTCTTTGGGATCTAGACATAGTCTCAGTTTACCATTCGGTTTCCTGCTGTACACCAGACTGTTCACCCAGGCCGTCAGCTTGCCCTCTTTTATCTTAGTAATAATCCCTCGGGACTCCATATCGTCCAGCTCTTCTTTTATGTAATCACGCAAACTCAATGGCATGCGTCTTTGAGTGTGGACAACCGGGGGTACAGACGGGACCACAGTGATATGGTACTGACCCTGGAATCTTCCAACACCATCGAAGCAATCAGGGTAACGTTTCACTAGCTCATCCTTGTCTTTAATGGGTGTAACCTGTTCACAAGTGCGGTTGGCATTCAACGGTGAACCTCGCTGCACTGAGCAATTTAGAGTGACAAGGTTGAGTTCCAGGGATGTTGGCAGCCCAATGATGGCTGGTCCATCTGCTTCCGTGACAAAGAAAGTTGCGACTGATTTCCTGCTGTTGAAATCATAATTTGGCACTTCCCATGTTGCATCAGCTCTGCCCCTCCATAAGCAGTGAGCACTGTAGGTGAGCATTCAAGAAGTCCTGGTTTGGGAAAACCTTCTGGTGTGAGATTCTCAGGATACATGCGGCGATACAGTCTCAAAGGAAGTATGTTTCCTTCAGCTCCTGTGTCTAACTTGGTCTTGAGCGCAGTTGGCCGACTACTGATGCTGTGTAAGTCAACATTTACAGTTAAAAACGCCTCATTTGCCGGTTGATCTTGAGGCCCGATAAAATCAACTGTGATGGATTCAAACGTAATTGTTTCAAACTGATCGCTCAGGTCTCTTCTATCTCCATCTCTACATTTTCCACTTGCGGATCTTCGTCTGTTGCGTTGGTCTTTACTACTGGAGTGATGAGGCGACTTACGGTTTTCTCTGTTCCTTTGCCTGCCACGTGTTCCACCTTGGCTTCTGGAGCGGCAAACCCTTGCCCAGTGATTTTCTCTCTGACAATTTAGGCACACAGATCCATATGCGGGGCACTTCTTTCTAGGCTCGACCCCCTTAATTCCATGAATATCTTTGTTGCTTTCGCCATCCAACTCTTCCATCTGTGATTGGGTGGCCTCGTAGGTCCTAGCGATGTCAATAGCCTCGTCGAGAGTAAGCTGCTCACCTTTTTCTAATAACCTTTCCTGTACTTTCTTGTGTTTGGTTCCAACGATTAGTTGCTCGATCAGGCGCTCGTCGGACTCGTCCTTGTCTCTGAATTGACACCTCGTAGCTTGATTTTGACAACGTGTCAGGAAAACGTCGACAAATTCATCATTCTTCTGCCTGAGCTGTTGAAGCTTGTATCTGGCTAACCTGTGGTTCACTTTCGGCGCTACTTCTTTCTCAAATCGCTCCCATATTTTCGCTGGACTCGTGCTGTCTTCTGCTTCTTCCCAGGTCCAACTATTGTATGTTTCTAATCCTTGTCTTCCAATCCATAATTAAATGAACGTGGCTTGTCCCTTAGCCGATTTCTTCGAGTATGGCCAGCTGAAAATCAAGTCGCAGTATTGCTTGAACTGGGCTAATTCATCCCGCAAATCGGTGGCGTCCCAATTCATCTCCGGGATTTTGAATCCCGCAGCAGTGGCCATGATGAGAAGTTTTGGTTTGGTTTAATTTTGGTTCGCTTCGGTTCACTTTAATTTACTCTTACTCTTGNTTGGTTCGGTTTAATTTTGGTTCGCTTCGGTTCACTTTAATTTACTCTTACTCTTGACACCATGTCGTGGGAATGAACCAATAAACCAGGCAAGAGATACGTTTTAGAACATCATGTTATGCAGACTCGAAGAACTAGAAGAATATGCAAATACATACAAGCATGTGAATAACTTATACAGACTCATCACACCCTCAGTCATGTGACTGGGACTGCAAACAGTGTGAAACCGGAACTGAATGTTACAGGTGGTTGAGGTGTGAGTGTAATAACAACAACACTAGATGGGGAGCACTTATTGGAAGGAGGGCGCTACATCAGATGACTGTGTAGTAATCATTTCCTTTAACATCTGACAATCCATCTGGATCTTAACAACTGAAATCAATTCAGTATGTACATGTACATGTGGATATCCTCTGTTATAGTGATAAAAATTAAATACTTTCAACAGAAGTATTATTTTACCTCTTTTACCCTTTTTTTCCTTTTCTTTGTGGTACCGCAAACACCATAAATAACAAGGCAAAGGCGCGCCATGCGAGGAATATCAACCATATTTAAATCAAAGTCCAAGTACTGGTTCCAGGATGGATTTGATCCACTCTCTGGTCTTGTGAATGTAATGTCACACAGGGCTTCTCCGCCATGGTAAATTCCTGCTCTGACACCAACCTGAATACATTAAACAGATATCAAGTCAGGAATAATACATGATTGAATAATTTATTAAAGACTTCA